AATGAGATGGCTGCATGAGCAGGTGCATTGTTGTGGTGGCAAAACCAGTCCCCATCTTCCACAAAGCAGGCCTTTTTTGTCCCACACTGTTATGCAATCTTTTCAGAAGCTCTAAATAGAAAGCTTGATTAACAGTCTGACCTGGTGGAAGGAATTCCAAATGCACTACAAGTCGGCTTTTCCGTCCATTTGGGAAGCTGACGGATGTCCAGAACAAGGTTTGTCATTATTCGGCATTTCACTTTTTGAAATGAGAAAACCATTCGTACACCTAAGTTTTCCCATAGCAAGCCGTGTTCAACATCACAAGTTCTGCAGCATTTTTCCTGAGCAGGAATCAAAATTTCACAGGCGCAAACTGATGTCTTATATCTGCCATCACAAGAAAAATTCACTGTGGCCAGAAAGAACCTTCCCAGGTGATGCCAGTGGGTGCACTAACAAAGCGAGTTGCTTGAGGCCTGCATAGCGGGGGTGGGGTGGGGTGGATGCGTACTACAAAAGCTCCATCCAATGGAGCTTTTTCTGGGTGTTGGGGGGGGGGGGTTTGTGCCCCCCCACCATAGTTAATTATTTAAGCAAATATAAATTTTATGAAAATATTAGAATAAAAAGTCCAGAAAAAACTTAAGTACCTCAAGAATTAAGATGAAAAGCAAAGTAAAATAAACCTGTATTCTGAAAATGAAATAAAATTACAGCCAAAAAGTAAGTTGATGATCCAGAAGAGATATAGTAAAATAAAATCAGCTAATTCAATGGAAAAAATAATCAATGGCCTCATTCTTTTGTAAAAGTTAAAATAAAAATGTGAATTAGTAGAATCAAAAAGCCAGATTAAGACAACCATCATGAAGACATATTAAGAGGTTCTGTGGCAAATTAATCTCTAATCATCTCTGTTGATACCAAAATAATAAATCACAAATTAATCTCATCAAAGGAGGAAAGAAAAAAAATCCCAAGATGAAAGTCTTATCAAAGAGACTGCACCACTGTGGTTTGAAGGTTTGGCGTTGTCTGGTACCAACAAGTCGGCTCTGACCCATAGTGACCGTCTGCACAACAGAAGGAAACACAGCCCGGTCCTGCGCCATCCTCACAACTGCTCCTGTGCCCGAGCCCACCGATGCAGCCAGTGTCCATCCGTCTCCTTGAGGGCTCTCCTCGCTTCTGCTGCCCCTCCACTTTAGTAACAGGATGTCCTGCAGGTCTCTCCGGACGGCATGTCCAAAGTAGGCAAGACAAAGTCCCACCATCCTTGTCTCTAAGGAGCCCAGCTGTACTTCTCCCAAGACAGATCAGGAATGTACCTACCAGGAATGTTCTTTAACCAACACCCGGGAATAAGCTGTGGATAAAACTCAAGGACCACCCGCCCACCCAACACAACTAAATACAAACACAGCTTATCAACCCAGGCAGGACAGAAGGAATAAGTTTTGTTTTTTTCCTAGAAAAAAACACTTTATTGGGAGCTAATACAGGCAGCACATCACTCCATAGTTCAATCACATCAAGCAGTATTGTGCAATTGCTACCCCAATCAGCTTCAACACATTCTCCTCCTCCTTGACCTCCTTGATATCTGCTCCTTTTACCTCCCCCTCCGCCCCACCCCACCCTCACCCCGAAACCCTTATTCTACTCTCTGCCTCTAGAGGTTCATCAATTCTGGGTTTCATATGATGAAAAACAGACAAACATAACAAAGGCTCAAGAGGGTCATCCCAATGACAAAATACATCTGATACAAACCCCAATATGAACAAACAAAATCAACAACAAAAATACAGAAAGCACTGAAAACCAGGTCAGGTCCGACGTGCATCAGAGGGGCATCAACTGACAAGGTCACGTCAGGTTGATCGTTTTGATCTATAGTCCTTTCTCTAGCGCACTCTGTTTGGGAACCAGCTTCTTCTCATCCCTGTGTTAGGGATGGAGGGAAATCGCCGGAGGCTTATTTCCTATGGAGATGCCACAGATGTATCTTGGGCTCCCACGGTCATCATAGCCTTCTGCAAACCAGAATCTCACAGCTAAGGCCCTGATACCATTCTTTCCTTCAGCTTACATGATTTACGCTCCTTTGGTCCCTGCTGATGGTGTGCTTCTTCCATGTGGACTTCACCAATATCTCACTTAGATGGCTGCTTGTTTGGAAATAAAAAAGCCTTTAAGACCCCAGATGCTATTTTATCTGATAGCTGGGCACCATCTAATCTCTTCACCACACTTTGCTGTAGCACCCCTAACTCCTGTATTCCTTTCCTGAGGGACATGTTGTAATAACTAATTGTTCTTAGATTGGAGCTAGGATTTCATGCAAATCCAAAACCCGGAATGAGGTTTTTGTTTTTGATAAAGTAATCAAGCATTTATACTTAAAAACAAGAGGCTTTAATTTTTAAGGAGGTCATCTCCAGGATTTGGGGGGTCATAAAGATAACTTTTAGAAAGCTGTTTACAAATTACTTTGAAAGGAGGCAGAAAGACCAGCAGACTGGGCTCCATTAAAATGAGGCCCTCTTCTTTACCCCCACACACCATTCAGAGGTTTAAACGGTGTGAGAATGACCAGCATGTGAGAGAAGCGAGCTGCTGGGGAAACGATGCTGGCCTTCTTGCTTGGCCCGGCTCTGCTGCAAGTATTCACCTTGGTAAAGAGAAGAGGTGTGTGTGAGGGGCAATAAAGTGAAGGGATGTGGAACGGGGCTTGTGTGGACTAATGTGGCAGGCAAATCATGCTCTACCGCAGTGCCCCCAAGAGGGGCCAGCCCCTGGAGAAGGGCAGCGTACTTGGCAAAGTGGAGAGTCAGCGACCAACGCAGGGAGGGCCACAACGAGATGGACTGACACAGTGGCTACTAGGGAAGTCAACCACACGAACACTGGTGAGGACGGCGCAGGACGGGCAGGGTTTAGACCTGTTGTACGCAGGTTGCTCGCTGTGAGTGAGAGCCCACTTGGGGGCACCGAACAATAATCATTCCTCAAAAAACACCAGCACACGTGCCACACCAGGCCCACGTCCCCCTGGGAACCAGAGTCTGGGCACCCTTTCCGGACAGGACCTATTCTTCAGTGACAGGACATCGCGTGTGATGGAGGGCGGTAAGTATTAGTTTGCAGGCCACCCACTCAGAGAGGAAATACAGTATATCCATGGGTGGTCTGCACTGTCTACGAACCATAAAGTTGGTGGGTGGACCACCCCACCTCTGCAGTACCGGGGAAGAAAGGCCTGGCCCTCTGCCAGAAAGGCTATAGCCAGAAAACCCCAGGGACCTCAGTTCTACTCTGTAAGGCATGGGGTTACTACGAGTCAGGAGTGAAGCGATGACAAGGGACAGTAGAAACAGTATCCTGTGTGGCAGAAGCCCCATCTCTTGAAGCTAACAGGCCTTTATCCATCTAACCCAGGAAAAGGTATGCCTGGGGTTCTCAGTCAAAGCTCCCCACACCCACCTCCCGGTAAGTTCTCTGGTCGACCTTGGCAAGGGGGGGGGGCTGGCGGAAAACACCAGAGGATGTCCGTCAAGCAGTGGCTTGCCCAAGGGCCAAACTCAAAATAAGGTCAACAGACCAGATACGGAGGAGGAGGGCAGCACTTGCCACAGACCAGCGGATCCTGCGCTCTCAAACCTGCGTGGGAGTTTTTTGAGCTGTCCCAAGTAGACTAGAGCCACGTACCAGTGCAAACATTTCTGCCTGCCTTCCCTCTGTCTCCTCACCATGAAACTGGGGGGCCCTTTTGGTGATTTCTTTCCTCATCATCTCTCCATCCGTGACGTAGCATGGTGTTATCCAATCACCGCCCAAGGGCAGCAGAAATGGAACTGTCCAGAAAATGCATTCAGGCCATTGACTGGGATGGGCGGGTTGCTTAATACGAGAGCCAGTGCTAAATGGAACACACCCACGCCTCCAAATAAGCTGCCGGAGCGGCTACCAATCCTTGCCTTCAATTGGCACAGACCGGTTTTGGGGTTTTTTGGGGGTTTTTTTAGTATTGGAGTCTCCCAATTTGAAATTACCAGACAAGCTTTTAAAAGCAAGTGTCTTCCTCTCCCGGAACACCAGCGGACACCATGGAGTTTATCTGCACCCATCTGCCTTAAAGGGCAAAATGTGAGCTTGGGGACATGTGGCTTGGCACCTGTCACCAACACTTTGCCACCAAGTCCAGGCCAGTAAGCCCCAGATTGTGAAAATCTCTCCCCCAACTTCTGTCCTGGGCATATCAATCTCATTTCACAACAGGAGTTAAAATAAAAACACTGGACCTTAAAAGAGAGGGTAAGGGGGCTGCATATGACACCCAAGGAGAGGAGGGGTGTGTGTGTGGGCACAGGGACGCAGAGTTCCGGGGGGCCCAGCAACAACCCGAAGGGCTTTTCTCGCCCAGTCTCTCCTTTCTGATATCGGCCCCATCACCGCAGTTCGGGCCAAGAAACTGTTTTTCTCCTTAGAGAGGTTCACAGAGAGCAAGGCTGGGAGGGGCCGGGGGCGATGCCGGCGTGTTGCAACACCCAGTGTTGGAAAACGTGGACGCTGCTCTTGGGGCCCAGCCCAGGTCCCTTCCGCCCTGGGCACCACTCGAGGTGGTGGAGTCATACCCCCCAGTCCTCTGGGGACACCCAGGGCGCCCACCCTGACCCTTCGGTCCCTAGGACTCCCGCCCCGTCGCCTAGGATCCCGCAGCCTAGTCGTCCTGTCCCTTCAGCCCCAGGGTGTCCACAGGGTGCCCACCCAGTCCCACTGCCCCCCCCCCAAGCACTCACCCCGTCCCCACAGCCCCCAGGACTCCCGTCCCGACCCTTCGACCCCAGGGAGCTTGCCCGGTCCCCTCAGATGTCCTGACGCATCCGTCTCGTCCCTTTGGCCCCCAGGGCGCCCGCCCCGTCCCCTCGGCACCCAGGACTCCCGCCCGGATACCTCGGACCCCAGGGTCCCCGGCCTGTCCCCTCGGCCCCGAGGCGCCCGCCCCGCGTTACCTCGGAGGCCCGGGCTGTCGTCCCTGGGCCGAATCTTGCGGATCTTGACGGGGCGCCCGCTCAGCGTGGCCAGGATCAGCCGCTGGCGCAAGAAGTTGCAGCCCGCGTAGTCGAGGGAGTGCGTGGGCGCGGCCATGTGCACGCC